TTGGTTATAGCCAGAGTAGGCGTCCAAGAAACTTAGCAGTTCGTGCCCTGCTGTTGCATCGATCAGCTGGTCGATATGGGGCAATGGGAAGGAGTCCTTTGGGCATGCCTTGTTCAGGTCGGTGAAGTCTACGCACATTCTCCATTTCCCGCTTTTCTTTTTAACCATGACCACGTTGGCGACCCATTGGGGGTATTTCGATTCTCTGATGGAACCGTTGGCTAGTAGTTTACCTACCTCTTCACGACTGCCTCGTTGATTGCGGCGTTGAATTTCCTCCTTATCTGTCGTACGGTAGTGGGTCGACGTTCAGCTTATGAGTGGCAATGTCTTTTGGGATCCCGGGCATATCTGAATGAGAGAAGGCAAATAAATCCGCATAGCTAGTTAAGAATTCGTGGTACTTACCTGGGTCGGAGAGGTTGTGCCCGATGTAGGCTTTCTTTGAACTGTCGGTACCGTCCAGCGGGACCGGGTCGAGGTTCTCGACTGTCGCTTTGATAGCTTCTATGACATCTGGGTCCCTAACGACCTCTGTCATCGGGTTGATTTTTGTTCCCGACATGGCTGATTGCTATGCTTCCGCGCTTTCTCCCTTCAGCTATTTGGTATGTGTGCAGTCTTGGGCGATTCGGTAACATTCCTGGGCGGTACGTGGCTCACCTCGAATGCTGAATATTCCCCATGGGGTGGGAATTTTGATTACTTGATAGAAACTCGAGGGGATGGCTTGCATGGTGTGTATCCATGGACGCCCTATGATGACGTTGTAGGCTGTTTCCTGATTCATGATGTGGAATGTGGTTTCCAGCGTGACTCTTCCCGCCAAGACTGGCAGTGAAATCTCTCCGGAGGTTCGCTCTACTGTATTGTTAAAACCCGTTAGTGTTATGCAACGCGGTATTATCTTATCTTTGAGCCTCATTTGCATGAGGACTTTTGGGTGGATAATACACGCGCCGCTTCCGTCGTCTACCATGATTCTTTTCACATCAGTATCAGCAATGCATAAAGTTATAACTAAAGCATCGTAATGAGGGAAAGACAAACCGTCGGCATCAGACTTATCGAAGGTGACACTATCTTCGAAGTCATCATACCGTTCGTGAGCAATCGTGCGCTTCAACTTGTGTGTGGTGGTGAACTTTACATGGTTGATTGCCGAGTCGTCGCCGCCACCAACGATCATCTGTATGGTGCGTGCTGGAGAAGGTGGTTTTGGTGGTCCTTGGGATTGGTCGCGTCCTCTGGCGAAATTAGCCCTTCCTTTATTACTGAGCAGCTCCTTCAGGTATCCCTGGTTCAGCATTCTGACCACCTCCTGTCGTAGACCTATGCAATCTTCGGTCTTGTGTCCTCTTTCCTGATTGAATTCGCACAGGACGTTCGACCTCCTTGCACTAGGATTTGATTTCATTTTTTGTGGCCACTGCACCTTCGTGCCCAGCTTCTCCAGTGCGTACACTATTTCTGAAGGGGAGACACAAAAGTTATGAGCGGATAATAATGGGGGCATACCTCTTTCATTCCGAAGCGGGGCGGCATTTTGCTGCACGGCATCTGGATGTCTTGGAGGAGGCGGATTGGGAGTTCTGACATAAGGCTGGTGCCTTTCTCTATTGGAGCGTGGGAGTGGTTCCCGTCGCCCGTCGTTGCATCGATCCCTCCTTACCTCTGATTGTACTGACGTTAGTCGTTGGGTTGGACCGTTAAGATCGTCTTCATCCGCTCTCACTTCGGCGCAATAGGCATTATGAATCTCTTCCCACGTGGTGGGGGGATACTTCATGAGTCGGTTAAGCAGCTTCTTGGTTGCTTTAGATCCGTCTCTGTTCAACCCGTTTTGGAAAGCTGCGACCGCCATTCCTTCTGATACGTTTGGCAGTCCCATTCTTACCCTGTTGAATCGGGCCAGGAAGTCCCTGAGTCCTTCACCCGTTGTTTGCCTGATGGCGAAGATATCGTTGACCCTAGCATCGGCCTTCTTTGCTCCTGCATGAGCGGTGGCGAACTTGTCCGCCATCTCTTCGAACGTCGATATCGATCTGGCTGGCAGTTGAGAGTACCATGTTAGTGCTCCTCCTGTCAAAGTTTCACCAAACTTTTTCAGCAACACGTATGGCACCTGTTCTTTCAATAGGTCATTACCTTTTACGGCGGTCACATAATGGATCAGATGGTTTTCCGGATCCATGGTCCCATCGTATATTTTCAAGTACGGTGGCATCTTGAAGGTTTTAGGGATTGGGTGAGGAGCAGCTTCCTCACTATACGGTTGCTCGACGAACCTTCCCACATCGTGTTTCGGTAGTAGCTTATGGGCACCAGGTATCTTGTCTACCCTTTCCTGGTGCTCCTTCATTTGATCACGAAGCGCTTTATTCTCGTTCTCCATTTCTTCCATTTTCTTAAGGATGGTTGCGAGCGCATCATCGCTTGCATTGGTATCGGTGTGGGCGTTACTTGTTCGTACAACACCGGGCTCACCAGCGGCAGCGGCGATTTCTTCCATTGACGAATCTTTGATATTTCCCTGAGGTGGTTTCTCGAGCATGCTACTTAGAGTGTTCGTCAACCATTCCTCTAGTAGCTTTTTGACTACTGGCGGCGTTTCCTTTGCTGCAGATGTAGAAGTCCCTCTTTCATGCAAAATCGTTAGATCTTCGAGTGAAGAGGGTGAGATCTCCCCCTCCGGTACACTACTTGGTGTTACATTCGCGGTATTTGTCTACCGGCTTCGTTGAGTGGGCCTATGAGGTTGGTTGAGACATCTGCTATCATCTTCAGCCTTGATTCTTTATCTGCCATTTGTTAGTTTCTATGAAGTCTGAAGAACAGTGATTGTTGTTTTCGATATCCTAGATGTGAACTATGATTTCGACTACTGAAATCCCCACAGACGGCGCCAAATTATTTGACTCAAAAGTTGTTTAACACTTTTTCAGCAAATCAATCAATATAGATGAAGGGGTAAATCATAATTGAAGATAATAAACCCTAGGATGATCTTGGCAATTGGTTCAGACAACAATAATACAAATCGGAGAGAGAGAGAAGGTGATAATCTTCGAGAGATAAGAGAGAGAGATAATGTTAGAGAGATGAGAGAGCCAGAGAGATTGTATTTCCAATAATCAATCCTTCATTTACAAGGCTCGGACCCCCCTTTATATAATAGAGGATCCTTACTTAAATATTAAAAGACAGAAATAAAGTACATGCTATAGAGGGACCGACGTGATCATGAAGTCGTCCCTCTTATTATTCCTAAGTCGTCCTTCTAGCCGGACTCACATATATTCGATCGGTCGTGCTGGCTTAGGGACGTGGTCGGTCAAATTCGACCCCATACAATATATATAAGTACAAGGAAGTAGTGTTTGCATCAATATTACATCTCATTCTAATAAAAGGAAAAGAGAAGAAATTTGTATGTGAGAGAGAGAGTAAAAGAGGAGGGGGGGGGGGGGGGGGGGAGAAAAAGGTTTGGGGGAGAGTGGGGGATTGGGTTGGACCATTTGATGAAAGAGAAATTTTTATAAAGCACTATAGTTTAGAGCTTAATTACCACACATAATTATAGTTTATCTAATTACCATTCGTAGCTATTGTTCAATTGTTACCAGCCTGTATCACTTGTATTTAGACGCGCAACGAATACACCTGGGTCAACTGTATTCGTTCGCGCAATGAACACAAAATGTATCAATTGTATTCGTTCGTGCAACAAATACAATATTTATCAATTGTATTCGTTCGCGAAACGAATACAAGTATACAACCAAGACGGAATACAGGGGTATATACAAAGGATATCAACTGTATTCGTTAATAAATATAACCAAGACGAAATACAAAAATACAGAAAAATAAAATACTCTCGTTGAGAGTCGAACTCACTTAAGACCTCCGCTTATTAAGCGGGTGGTTTAAGTGCGGACTTGTTGCTGTCGTTTCAGTTCAGCACAATTGATTTCTTGTTTCAGTACAAGTGAATTTGCTATAAAATTCAAATATAAGTACGAATGATAATTTTTTAAAAATATAACTATAAATAATAAATAAAATGTATATACTTATTGTATCGCGTGATTTTTCCTTGATTAAATAGGAATGTAGAGCACATGAAATTTGGTCCCTACCACCAAAAGCCCACGAGGAGGATGGGGAGACACAACATTATATTGCATGAAGGGTTCCAATCCAATCAATGATTTGATTGGGCTCGTGCACTTAACATTGCACGTGCATTTTCAGCATTTCCTTATCTGGCACAGCCACAATATTTTTCAATACTCATATTTCATCCGTTCCATTTAACGTAAATCTATTTTTTTTTGGTCCGTTCCAAAAAAAATGATCCCTTTCTAAATTAAAAACAATTTAATTTTAACTTACAATTTTACCCTTAATGAGAAGCTTTTATAACCACACATACTCTGGGCCCCTTTTTAACTTGTTTAGGACCACAAATATCAAAAGTATTCATTTTTTCTTAAAATTCGTACCCAGTCAAAACAAGTTCACATAAATTGGAACGGAGGAAGTACTATTTTTGCCCAACCAAAAGAGAAGTCAGAGTAAAGCTATATTTTATTTTTGCCATGAGATTTTTTTTCAATGACCACTGTGGCAATGATAGCCTGTTTGGCCAAGCTTCTCCAAAGCCAAAACCACTTCATCCCAAAGTTGAAGCGTTTGGCCAAGCTTTCAGAAGAAAATTTCTTTTTTTTTGAATAGAAACAGAAACAGTTTTGGAGAAGTAGAAAAAAGTAACTTCTTCCCAAAAATACATTTTTTGAAAAGCAATTTTGAGAAAATATACTTAGAAACACTTTTTAAAAGCTTGATCAAACACTAATTGCTGCGCAGAAGTGCTTTTCAAATTAATTAGCTAAACACAAATTTTCACACCAATAACACTTTTGGAAAAAAAAAAAACACTTCTCAAAATAAGCTGATTTTTGAAGCTTGGCCAAAGAGACTATGAATGCAGGTCGTAGCGCAAAACGAGTAGCATAAACTTCAACTCTTTCCTGTTTCATTGACACAGACTGTCATCAAAGCTACTCTTTCCTACTTCCCATGTACACATCCAAAGTTAAACAAACATGGAGAGTATTATAAGAGCAGCAACTAAAACTTAGCATGCATCAAAGCCTGCACTGGGCATTACAGTAGAAAACTAAAACTGGACCAGAGCCACTCCCCATCCTAAAACATACACCAAGTAAAAAGACAAAATCATATTTTACTTGTCAGTGCAAAAGTATTCAAGATTGCCCCTGGACCTGCTTTTCTCCAGCTGAGTCTCCATTGGCAGCCAAGCCTCTGATTTTTACATCATAAAAAACTTCTTCAACTTTCCTAAGGTCATATTTCATTCCTGCAACAGAAATTTGCAAGAATGAAAGTTTCATAGAGAAACACGACACAGTAAGTCGATTAGAAGAAATACTAAAATCAAGACACGCTCAAACCGCCGCCTTTTATCTCACATTGTCTAGCGCTCAAACAATTCTGCAAATCTCATGTTTCTTAAATTTCAGGATCCTTTCCTTTGTGCTTTCTTTCCATGCATTACAAGAGAATTCAACAAAAGATACTTTGAAATCTTAATGATCTAAAATATGCAATTTATAAAGGTTGTTTCTATAAATCAATAAAAAGAAAAGATAATCTAATTTATATGGAACTGCACTCTCACCGTCAAATTTTTTGCGCAAGAAATCATTTCTGAGATTAAGCATGCGAAATGCAGCATGAAGATCTGTCAAGAACTTCAAAACCTTACGCGGGCAATCATAATCCCCAGCTGTCACTTGGTTCACCACATATCTAGGCTGCAACATCATTACCACATGATTGGTCAATCCAAAGACAAATATGATATAACAGATAGTTTTAGTAGCCTTTGCAAAACAGAGTGCTAAACACCATCGCTTGAAAGTTTTGCACCAAAAGCAACTTCTAATAATGCTTTAAATTCCCCAACTACCACATGAGAAGGAAGACAAAAGGAAACCTTATACATATATTATACGTTAATTTGCACATCAAAGGAGCTTTGTGTCAAAACCACAACAGAGACAGCTACCAAGATTAAGTTAGTCATATAAAACCGAAAAGGAAAAATATTCCAAGTTCTAGCTTACTGTCCTTACCAACTCATTTGACATAAAACAGATACCTGCCAGAAAAGAAAATGTATAAGTACCTCCAAAAATAATGAATCAAGCAATACAACAAAGTTTCAAGGTCTTAAAACTCTCATTCAAGGGAATTAGGTAAACCTCCTAGATGAAGCATAAGGAGGTAGGGGAAGATTAGGTGATCTTTTGCAAGCATGGAAGGCATTAAGATGCCTCTGAACCTTACAAGCAGAAATCCTTTAAAAGCAGGGTTTATGGTTTCACATATAAGCTCCTACTTTAGAAACAATACTGGCTGCATATGCATAAGGAATTCCTACTCTTCTTACTTGAAATATTTACAATCAAAAGAAGAATAAGAGCAAGTTTTGTACCAAGAATTTTTGGAAAATTAGGGTCACTCACCAATAAGATAGTCTTCAACATCAAGTCCAAATTCTGTTGGTGTCACTACAAAGTAGACAAGTATGAAAAGTTAATAACTTCAAAGATTCTCTAAAGCTAAAACACATAGATAACAACTGACAGAAATACACATGATGTTCACCCAAAAAAATGCATGGAAGAACCTTTTCTGCAGAATCAGCAAAGTAAAGCGATTATTCTTGTTTTTCAGTTTTCAATTGGCTTTTGCTGCTAAAAGGTTGACACTCTCCTAATTAGCATTTGCTGTCAGAGATTTCAACGCAAAAAGGAAGGTGATAATCATCCAAGAATTGTAGAAGTGCAAAGAGAGGCAACTCCAAGCACTACCGTGCAAGGATGAGTGAGCCATGATCTTCCCTTTTTGCTAACTCAACTGGGAAGAAGATATGACGTCAAGACAGCTATTTACACGAGAAAGATCAAGGGATGAACTCACAAGAACCGAATTGCTGCAAATGGTAAAAAAAGTTATTACCTTATAAAGGCCAACTAAGAACGGATTAGACAACCTAGTTTTCAACTTTGAGAGTTGAAGCTGAAATTTCCTCATCAACATTCACTATTTAAACTTTAATCGCTCACAGCTATACCGCTTAAATTCACATTTAATTGAGGAAGAAAGTAATTATAACATTGGAGAGAAAAATAGAAACTTGTACAGCTTCATGAGAGAGCCATGGCTAAAAAAGAAAAATAATTGCCAATTCATAAGAAATATTGGCACCCAAAATATGAGGAAACCGATAGAAAAACACATTACAAGAAAAAATGCTGCAGCTGATGCAGTGTGGCGGACTATTCAATAATTATGTTATACTAAAATTACTAATACATTTTACCTAAAAGGAAAATAGTGGAAACAGAGAAGAAAACTTACAGCCAAGCTTCTCCTCGACTTCATTGTGCAGAACAAGAGTCCCGGTCTCTAACCAATGCATAAAAGCAAGCAACGATACCACAATTTGTGTTTCACTCTTCCAATCACCATGATACCTAATACACCAAAAATGGACAATCACGGTGGCCGAAAGACAACCATAAAACCATCTTAAACTGAAAAACAAAAAAAATAAGGAAGTATCGCTCACCGGAAATACTGACCAGGGCATTCACGTACAATTTCTGAAAGCCGACTGTAAAGTTCCTTCAGCTCTCCGATCTGAGACTTAGCCTTCTCTAGAACCTCTATTGCAACATATTGGATGGAAAAATATTTAGGCTAATAATAACTTAACAGAAAGAAATATCTACATTACTATTAACAACTGCAAGAAAACTAGATAAAGCCCTGAATTTTAAAGCAAAATCAAGAGCAAATGCAGCACACATATATCTTAATTCTACTCGCACCACTCTCCAAGAGCACGTTTTCTATATAAGAGCACGAAAGGAGAAAAATGACACTCCCTACTCTCCGCATTCATTTCACATGACAATATTTGACAGGACACGGAGCTTAATATGCTTATTTATTATAATGGAAGACGTCGCATCAAAGTGTAAAATTAGTACTCCCTCTATTTCAATTTATGTGGCGGTGTTTGACTTATATGTTATGATAAAGAAAGATATCACTTCAAAACTTCTAAACAGAGTAAAAGAAACCCTCACATTATCCCCAACATGAGATTTCTAAAGCCAGGTAAAACAGAAAGTTTAAATTAAAATTGTTTTCAAATATAGAAAGGCGTAATAGTATAATTAATGAAATTCGTGAAAGTTACTTAGAAACGAATCGCATCAAACATTTCAAAATGTATAAATTGAAAAGATTTTCATTCAAATTAGAACGGAGAAAGTGAGTACTAAATTTTTTTTATACCAGCAACAGGGCGAGACTGATGAACGAGAAGAAGGCTAGCATAAATGTGCCGAGTAACCGACTCAATCTCCGTCGCCACTACTCTTATTCGCTCCCGTAAATTCCCGGACTCCTCTAAATGATGCCTGAAGTCCTCAAACTGTTTCTCCAATTTCTCCGACGAAGGATTGGACAAATCACCAGCCGCCATTGAATTAGTGAAAAATGTAGAGCAACAACGAGCTTTATTACAGAGTGAAGGACTAGAAGATGTTAAGGTGGAATTGGGAACGGAGAAATTTTGGGTGGAAATGAGAAGGAGAGGGAAGTAGGGTTTAGGGTTTAACACGTAGTGAGAGAAAACAGTACAAGTGTTTCGAAACGCCAATATCATGTTGAGGAATAATGGGAGGGTGAGATTTTACTCTCTTTTTAGAAGTTTTCAGGATTAATGAGATATTATTCAGTAATATTTTATCGAAAAATGACTTACTTTTTGAATAATAATAATATATATATATATATACATAAATTTTTGAGAAAATATAACAACAAAATATCCAATGTAATCCCGCATGTGGGGTCTGAGAAGCATAGTGTGTGTGCAGCCTTACAATTATCTCAACAGTTTAAAAAGCAAAATCTCAGCAGTTTAAAAAGAAGTACAACAACAAAGAAGACATGAAAAAAAACCCAGTAACAACACCACGATAATAAGAAAATCAAAGTAGAAGAAATATTAGGTAGTAGTAGAAATCTATGAATAAGTAAATATGAGAATAAAACTAGCGCTACTGATACGGGCAGAAAATACGCTCGACTACCTGCTAACCATCTAATTCAATTTTTGACCTCCACACCCTTCTATTAAGGATCATGCCCTCAGCTAAAGATGTGTCGTATATTGTCTAATCGCCTCTCCCCACCACTTATTTGGTCTACTTCTATCGTTCCTTAAACCCACCATGAGCAATTTCTCACTGGAGCATCCGTGCATCTCCTCTTCACATGCTCGAACCATCTCAGCCTCGCTTTCTGCATTTTATCCACCACGGAGATCATTCCCACTTTATCCTGAATATCTTCGTTCATAATCTTATCTTTTCCTAGTATGCACACACATCCATCTCAGCATTCGTATTTTTGTTACTTTTCATCTTCTTGACATGAGAGTTCTTGACTAGCCAATACTACGTCCCATGCAACATAGCCAGTCTAACCACCACTTTGTAGAACTTACTTTTAAGTCTTGGCGGCACATTCTTATTACACACGATTCTGAATGCGAGCCTCCATTATTATTTTTTTTTTTAAAATTGATAATAGTATTTCAAAACGAATAGTGTTTTAATAAAATTTTGGTACAAAAAAATAATATTGTCTAAGTATAGATTAAAGAAAAAAATATAAAATTAAGAGTTTAGATATTTGAAGAAAAATAAGATGTTCTATTTCAAGTGTCAATTACTATTCGAAGAGTTAAAAAGATGTTTATGCTCATAATTTTTTAGATATTTTAAATTATTAATTATTATAATAACTTATATTCGGGGCATTTGCATCTATGCCCAATTTTTGGGCCACCTTGTAACTTACACCCGCTTTGCAAAAATAATTGTAAGCGTACCCACTTTTCGCGTAACTTCAGACATACGGGCCTGAAGTAGCAAAGGTAATCACGCAAACTTCAGTTCATAGTGCAATGACAAACTTCAGTTCAATAAAACTATAGCATGTTTTGGCTGAAGTTTTTGTTTTGTAATTTCTAAAGATGAAGTTTGTTTTGTAATTGCTGAAGCATTCTAGGAGCTGAAGTTTGGTTTGTAATTGCTGAACTTCAGCATTCTAGGAGCTGAAGTTTGTTTTGTATTTGCTGAACTTCAGCATTCTAGGAGCTGAAGTTCTTGTTTATATTTGCTGAACTTCAGCATCCTTAGGAGCTCTTACAAAATTAAATTGCAGCAACGAAGGAGAAGAAGACAAAAAATCTTAGGATTACTGTCATTAGACTCCCTTATGGATCGTGGGTTGACTTTTTCAAGTTTGAGTAGTGAAAACGTCGTCAACTCATAACCGGGGAATATAAGTCCGCCTCCCAAGACTACTCAATCCCTGCTCTATGTCCTGTTGCTAACCTTAGCGAGACAATGGGAGTGCGTCTCATTTGAATAGAAAGGCTTTACCTCTCTTGTTGGACGGGACTAAAAAGTATCTTGAAGGAATATAATAAATGTTATCAGAAGTTAGTTTCAGGATTGACTCCTATTGTGGGAGGCGTGCAAAATATTGAGACTTCTATTATAGCAGCTCTATCGAAGAAAAAGAAGGAGAAGGAGAAAGAGGCCTAAAGTTGTTTAGAAAGTGGGTACAAGTTAAAACTTTTTAAAAAAGTGGGTATATGTTAAATGGGTGCGACCAAATAGCGACCCGTGTAATTTTTACCTTATATTCATAGTACTATTGATATAATTTTTAAATATATACCTTTTATATTAAATTGAAAATTTTGTATTCAAATTCACACCAAAAAAATAATAATTTGATTTTCGTATTTCAAACCTCATCCTCTATAATGACGGAGAAAGTAAATTATACATGATACATATTGATTTGATGATACAGTCAAACCTCTTTATAACAGTGAGTCTTTATAACAACATTTCAATATAATGTTCAAGTTGATTTGGAAACCGATTTTCATGTTATCTTATATTATATATTTTCTATAACAACATTTCATAACAAACAACGCTATTATAGAAAGGTTTGATTGTATTGCCTATTATTAATATTAATAATAATAATAATAATAATAAAGGAAAACCTGCCAAAAATAACTTATCACTTATCATACATGAAACAATTGACATGATAATAAAGGGAATATTTTCATAAGAATCCCCTATGAGAAGCAAAAAAAAAAAAAAAGAAAGATCGATCCCCAGCTATTTCCTAACTAAAGTAATTAATTCTTGGCTCATTCAATATTCAAGCCTGTGAATTAAGGGGATTCAACAAAAAGTGCAACCTTAACAACAGAACCATCTCTAATGTTATATGCAAACAATGGCTTATCACTTTGCATTTTAACAGAAGAATGGTAAAGACAGAAATAATCATCTTTATCTCCCCACACCCATTTTATTATCTTCAACAAATCTGCCACATTTTGTGTTTCTTTCATTTCCACATAAAACTCTGCAGATAATAGAGATTCCACTTTTATCTTCATTTTTCTTCCTCTTGCTAAGGCCGCCATTTATCTCCTATGCAAAAGAAATGAACAACACATAAAAACAGAAAGAAATCTAAAGAGAAATAAGAAGAATGAAGAATTATGACTTGAAGCAGTTCTAGTAAATGTCTATGTTAGTTCAAGTTTGATGAGCCAATACCAACTTTATATAGCTAGTATATGATAAGGATGAAGTGTAGAATATGTACTGACGTGTAAAAGATATTTACATAATCAGATTATTTAAAAGGTAATTCGAACTTATTTTTATTTTTTTGTCTTGCGAGAAAAAATTGAAGTGTTATATATAGCGTGCCTCCGTCATATTGTTGTCAGCAAATATCACTATTTTTTATAGTATTATTTAACAGTAAGTATTAATTATTGTTTATATAAAATGGTATTAATATTAAATGTCAAATTATACTGATTGTTTAAGAATATTTTGCAAAATCAATATATAAGGAATCACACTTATATATATACTAAAAATTTAAATAATTTTTACAAAATCAATAATTTTAATATGTTGTAGCACGTAACTTTACATTATTTTCTATTTTATTTCTAACTTTTATTGACCAATTAATATCTTTTAGACGATCTAAGAAGATAACACAAAAATTCTTCTAAAATGGGTAATATGTCAATTCATAAACATTATTCCAATACTACCTACATTAACAACTTCAATGTCAAGTATAAATTTTCTTTCCTTGCGTAATTTTTGCAGATATAAAATAATATGATTTTGTTCCTGCCAATGATTTATTAATTGGATTTGAATATATGGATAGGAAGAAATCTGACATGTCATTATCTTAATTACTATGAAAGATTATGTTCCTTCTGATGAGTAATTATAATGGTTGTGTATGATAAAAATTAATTATATTACTAGTATTGTCATATTAGTGGTTACGATTCCCACACATTTAAGCAACTCTGTCCGTGTAATTACTTTTTTCCATAATATATTTTCTTGTCCTATATTCTAGGATTAGGTCATATATATGGGAGACATGTCGTACATGTTTGATGAGAATGAACTAATACTAACTACTACCACCCCTACTATTATACATTTAGACTTTATTTAAATATTTCTTATAGTTATATACTATTTTCAATTTGTTAAATAATTTTCGTGATACTCATGTTTACCTATTTAATTCTTGGAGCATTTGTCAAGAGATGTTGTAGTTTCTTCGTGTTTCATCTTTTCTAAACTACATTTATATGATATTTTCATATTTTTCATATTTCAAAACCTTTGGCACAATTTCTATAATTATATATTATTCTATACAAACTTAATAACTTTCTAAAACTCAAGTCATTCTTCATCTATTAAAGTTTGTTATGTTATGAAATACATATTTATATGGATGTCCACTAATCAAATATAACTCCCACTATTCTTTTCCATTATGTAGATAACCCCCACTACTTCTCACCATTATTGTTGTAACTCCTTCACCTTCATAACCTACCCATGATCTTCCTCCATGATGTCAAATGTTTAATGGCATACTTATGGAATTCTTTTGGTATACCTCTATGTTGTACTATAAATAGAGGATGAGAACTCATTTTGTAACACACTTGAATACATGGAAGAAATAGATTCTCTTCTCTCTTTCTCTCTACATTGTTGTCTATCTTTTTGTTTTATATTATTACTTTGAGCTAAGTTTTGTAACACGTTATCAGCACGAGTCTCTATCCAATTGAGTTACTACATCTACAAAATTGTCTTACATCAGAAAAAGCATATGTTTGCTGTGCCTGATATTCCTCTGGAAGAGATGAGTTTTTCTTTTCCATTTAGCAATTTCAAATAATGGTATGAAATATAATAAAAGGAATAACAAGGTTGAGGAGACTAGTACATCGTGAAAAGGCATATAATGCTAAGATACGTTTTCTAATTTTTTTTTTTTGATTAATTCATTTTCTTGTTAGTTTTTCTCAAAGGTTCTTTATTTGTCGGAAAAGTTTCCAATACTAAGTATTACTTTGTAAAGTTGAAAATACTTAGATGTAAATTAATTTCTACTCCATGTTTTTCTTTCTAATATTTATTGTAAGTTTAGTCTAATCTCTTTCACCTAATGTTCAGGTTAGATGTTAAATGAGAATCAGAAGCATATAATGATGCAGCTAAATGTTACATACTAAA